AATGTGCTTTTTAAAAATAAAATGGAGTACTACTCAGCCACAAAAAACGAGAAATTAGAGACATTTATAGCTAAATGGATGCACATTGAGGCAATACTCTTAAGTGAAATAAATAGGACACACCACGTGTAAATACCGAATAGTTTCTATAGTGTGACAAACTGAAAATGTACATAAGGACTAAAAGGTACAATAGATAATGTGAAATAGGAATAAAAGGGGCAAAGGGGAAGGGGAAGTGGGAGGGGTACGGGAAAGGAAAGAAGCGAATGGAATTAATATGAGAAAATGAAAAAAAGGAAACAAAGTCTTTGTAAGTAGGGAGGGATGGAGGGGTTGAAGGGAGGGCAGGGGAAGGGGAAAAAAATAACCAAGAGAGTATGTAAAGGTGCAAATTTCCAATGATGAATGTCATACTGTATATCTAAAATGTACCAAGCCGGGGATGATTTAGCTCAGTGGTTTCACCGCCTGCTGCGCAAGCGCAAGGTCCCGAGATCAATCTCTGGTACCAAAAAAAAAAGGATATACTGTTAAAAAAAAATTACCATGGGGACAAAAAAAAAAAGAAGCCATAGAAGAGGGATAGAAAATTGAATTCCAGGGAAGGGATTCGCCATGCTATATGGCAGTCAAAATTGTAGTTTAAAAATGCATAGTTCATTTGTGTTAATAGTCCTTCCAGCTGATGAAATTATAGGCGTATTAAAGAATTAAACCTACTTTTGCCTGAATAAAAAAAATAAATATGAGAAAAGGAAAAAAATGGAAACAAAGCCTTTGTAAATAGGGAGTGGTGGAGGGGGTGAAGGGAGGGCAGGGGAAAGGGAAAAAGAAGAACCAAGATATATCATGTAAAGGTACAAGATCCCAATGAGGAATATAACTATATTTTATACCTAAAATGTACCAATAAACTTAATGAGAAATATAAACATTTGAAAATTTTCCTTTATAGCTAATTAATTTCATATTTTATATCCTCTAAGCTAAGATCAAAGCACCATATTCCTCGGGGACCAGGCAAGTAACCTTGTATAATAGCGCCAGGCCTGCAGAAGCCTGTGTGGAACCAAAGATTACACACCTTGCCAAATGAAGTTTAGGTCTCATTGTCAAGAACACTGCAGCCAGTGAAGTCTGCTAGGCCTGTGTTTATCCAGTCTCTTGTGGGCTTATAAATTGCATCCTTTTGTCCTAAGTATATTTCTACAAGTTTTCATTTCTATTTCATTTTAGGTTCTTTTTTTTCCTGAATTTTGCTATATCCAAGTCAAATGTGATTTAAGCCATTTGTCTTTGATATTGCTTTTTTTTACGATTGCTTTTAATGTCTTTAGTGTCTCTTCACATTCTACTTTGCCATATTTTAGAATTTCTTTTTTTTCCTCCTATTTTTATCACTATCATTGCTTTGTATCTTTCATGGTGGAGTTTGGCAGTCCTATATTCTCATGAGACTAGAACATGAAATACCAGTTGATCCCTTTTCTGCACATATTGAAGCTCAGCCTAAAATAATGTCTTTTTATTCCCCTTTATTTCCACTTAGCATCTCTCCTCTTTGAAGCATCATTTAACTGGCAAATAGTTGGGTGATTATATCCATGACAATTGTCAACTGACCTATACTGGTTTAGTTATTCACAAATTATTATCAGTAGCAGTCAACACATAGGAATGGGTGAGAAATATTCTCTTCATACTTTCCTCCTACCTGATTGCAATAAAAAAAAAGCCTCAAATTGAAAACTCCCTATGTTGAAAGCGTAACGAAGCCCTAGCTCTGTTTTCTCTTTTCTTTATTTCTTTCCTTCCTTCTTTCCTTCCTTCCTTCCTTCCTTGTTTCCTTCCTCTCTCTCTCCCCCCACCTCCCTCCCTCTCCCCCCTCTCTCCTTTCTCCCCTCCCCTCCCTTCCCCTTCCCTTCCCTTCTCTCCAGGGTTTCACTATGGCCCTCAGGCTTTTCTTGAACTCACTATATAGCCCAGCCTGGCCTTGAACTCATGGTGAGCCTCCCGAGTGCTGGGATTACAGGTGTGTACCACCATGCCTGGCTAGCTCTTTGATGTTCCAACACCCTCCCTCACTTTTTTTTTTAATTGAGGTGTAATTCATATAACCTGAAATTTACCTTTTGATTGATTGACAGACTGGGGATTGAACCCGGGGTCTTCACACTGAACTGTTATCTCCAGTTGTCACCCCCGACCCCCGCTTTAAATTTTTTTTCTTTTAAATTTTGAGACAGGATTTTACTAATTTGCCCAGGCTGGACTCAGAATCCTGTGATTATAGGTGTATGCCACCATGCCTGGCTAAAATCACCATTTTAAAACATCCAGCACAATTCAGTGTCTAACATCGTTCTGGTAATTGAGGTAAAATTCACATAGCATAAAGTTCACAGTCATTTTAAAGTGAGCAATTCAGTGACATTTAACATATTCATAATGTTGTACAACTATTACTTCTATCTAGTTGCCAAAACATTTTAGAACAAAACAAAATACCCTGTACCCATCTGGTAGCATCTTACCTGAAATGTTTGTTCTATAAAAATTTAACTGCTGCTGAAAAATGTTCCCCAAAGTCTCACATGTTCAGAGGTGGGCCATTTGGAAGGTGGTTAGCTCTTGAGGGCTCTAATTTCTTCATTGGGCCAATCTGCTGATGAGATTTAATTTGATGGCGTATTGGGCAGTAATGGAAACTTAGGAGGTAGAGACTAGTTGAAGGTGTGACTAGTGGTGTGACCTTGGGGACTATATCTTGTGCCTTCCCTCTTTCTCTGTGGCTCTTTCCTTCTCACTCTGCTTCCTGGCTCTCACAATGAGCAGCTTTTCTCTGGTAGGCCCTTATGCCATGATGTCTTTTCCTCAGCACTGGACTAGAACTAATGGAACCAACCAACTATGGACTGAAACGTCTGAAACCATGAGCCCAAATACAGCTTTCTTCCTGAAAGTTGGTTTACATCAGATAGAGTATTTCATCACAGCATTGAAAACCTAGCACTAGGGGTTTAGCTAAACTAATTGGAGTCAGGCCAGATGAATTCCTCAAGAAAGCCACTGAACATAGGCCCATTTGGGGGTGAAGGCAAAGGTGCCATTTTGAGAGGTATGGATTCCTGGGCTCACCATATGCTTAGAACCTGTTACTGTAAGAACAGTGCCTGGTGAATATCAGTAACTGATCTGTGCATTTTGAATACAGTCATTTCACTAAGACTAATTTCTAACATTTTTTTTTGGTTCGGGGGGATTGAATTCAGGACCTTGCGCTTGCGAGCCAGGTGAGGGCACCACTGAGCTAAATCCCTGGCCCTTTTGTTTTTGTTTTCTGAGTCAGGATCTTGCTATATAGTCCAGGCTGGCCTTAAATTCACTATGTAGCCCAAGGGGGCCTCAAACTTGTGGCGATCTTCCTGCCTCAGCCTCCCGAGGGCTGGGAGTACAGTTGTGCACCACCCTGCCCAGGTGTAACATCAATTTTTTTGTAATTAACAGATTTTTGTGTTGATCATTCATTTTGTTAGAAATATGGGCTTCTGATAGAAATTTACTGAACAGTCTTGGAATGTATATAGAGGGAAGATTCATATGCATAATGTCCATGTTGAATAAACTTGGAGTTATATGTTCAGTTAACCTTTTTTATTGGTGTTACATTTTAGATATACATAATGATAACATTATAGGGAATTTGTACCTGTATATGATATATATTGCTTCTTTTTTTTCCCATTCCCCTTCCCTCCCTTTAACCCATGATTAATTTTTGCAACTTCTATTATAAAAGCTGATTAAAACTGATAGGCAAAGTGAATATTTAAAGGGATCTCAAGGAATCTGTGCCCTAGGTCAAGCAGGAAATCGTAGCATAAATCCTGTTCCCACACTTGTCCTCATTACCATGTCCTCCTCAGTGTGTGAGCAGATTGCCCTGTGGAGAGTGATTTCAAAGGTTAAATATTACTTTTATACCACATGGCACCTAAACACAAGACCATTTCAACTGGTCTTTATGAGGAGGCAGACAGTCACGTGCATCAACGTGGAGGAAAAAGGACTTGTGTTTTACTTGCTGAGTGCAATGTTTTCCACTGTAGTTAAGGGATTTTTCAAGGATATATATATTTTTTGTTAGCGGGGATTGAACTTGGGACCTCGAGCTTGTGAGGCAGTAGCCGGAACCACTGAGCTAAATTCCCAGCCCTCAAGAATATTTTGACTGTTATTTTTACCATAATGGTGTTTGGACACCCCCCCCCCCAACCCCCACAATGCAAGATGGACCTGACTTTTTGAAGTTCCCAGAGAAGTATAAAGTGGAGTCTCTATGCTTTAGGAAAATTACAGATTTGCCTGTTTAGATTGCCTCATGGTAAACAATCAGTAGGATGGAGAGTCAGTTTAATTTTATGCCAGAACCAAGTAGCTTTGTGTTATTTTTAATGGGAAAAATGACAAAACTAACATTCATTGTGTGAGAAAGACTATTTTGTTTCTCTAACTCATATATTTAGAATTCCACTGTAAAATTCCACAGACAGACTTGTTCAATTTATGGTAGGTCTGAATGATGGATTTATTGCTTGAATATAATTTCCTTGTTCTAACCAGACAGTAATGAAAGTATAATAATCTTTATATATCGTAACCTAGATTGTGTATCCATCCACATGGCTGATGTATAAAATGTCTCCTTGAAAAAAATTCCCATACCTTTTTTCTTTATACTAATAAAAAGTATATGAACAGTTGCTTTATTGATTTTAAGTTTGTTGGATTTTTTTTTCATAGTTTCTAATTGTGACTCTGACAGGTTCTATGTTTTGATGCCTATTTGGAAGACAAAGTGCGTGATAAAAGCCAAGAAATATATAGGATCAGATTCTATAAAATCTACTTCTACCCCGAAGATGACACAATCGAAGTATATGAACCTCAAGTGAAAAATAGCGGACTGCCTCAAGGTATCTATTTAAAAGCAGCATTATGGTTATTTAACTTCTAACTCTTGCCATTATATACTATCTTTCTTTAGTTTTTTAAAAGCCCTCATACTAATACTTAGGTATCTAACTTGTTGGCACTGGTGAATATAAACATGCTGCTAGTGTGTAGTTAGTGTTAGTGACTGATCAGCTTCCTATACCCCACAGTCAATATTGGCCATTTCTCTCACTCCTCTATGGCACGGTATGTCTTTTCGAATGCTGCTGCAGTATAAACAGACACTCTTGTGTCTTTGACCTTGTCCTCAAACCTTTGTTCTCTTTGCCCTGGCTAACTGGCTTCTTTTACAACACCCTCAGGGCAGAAGAGGAAGCTGTTTTTTTCTGCCACTTCAGACTGGTATTCTCTCTTTCTTCTTGAATTTCTTGTCTTTTGTTTCAGCTGCCTTCACCTCATCCTCATACCTGTTAACTAACACCATTTATGGTGATTAACCAAACCTCAGTTGTACCTCAGCAGAGTCTTGTTTTGTACCCTATGTATGCTGGTCATCTTTACCTGTACTGTGCTTTAGGCTGATAAGAATTAGCTCTGTGGCCAACAGAGAACTCAGTCCTAGGCTATATTAGAATATGCTGGATATTAAGGGAGCGAACTGACTGAATTCTGGATGCTGTTTGGGGACAGTGAGTATAAGGATGAAAGGACTGAAAATTTTTTTAAAAATGAATTTTATTGGTACATTTTAGGTATACAATATAATGACATTCATCATTGGAAATTTGCACCTTTACATAATCTCTCTTGGTT